GTTAAAGGTGCAGCAGCCCGCGCCAGCCTCCGCAGCCGCCTTTGTACGCGTGATTTATGACTTCAATCTTGGTTCACCGAGAGTTCACACGGCTTTCGCTGCTGTTGAAGGTTAAAAGATGGTCTTCGCTTGACAAGTGGGACTATTGAAAATTCCTTCTTCTTCGTTTTTTTTTTTTTTAGAAGCAAAAAGCTGAGGCTCAGGGGAGAAAAAAGTTGGGGGTGGGGGGACAGGGGTTGCAGGTGGAGCAAAATGCAAAGTTATAGGTCAAGAAGATCTGTCCCCTTATGTTTCGATATTTTTTAAACCAAAATTTGAGTGTGTGTTTGTGAGGGGGGTGGAGGGAGTCGTGATTGCGGAGATCTGGGAATGAGTTTAAAGATCTCATATTTAGAGGCCAAAGGCACAGACACAGAAGGGGGGAATTTCGCGTTTCTTCAGTAAATTATTTAATAGCTTGGGTTACCATCCTCAAGCCATTCTCTTGAGACCAAAGCGGGTCAGCTAAGAGGAAGGCGGGTAAGGGTTGCCTGTTGCCCAGTGACGTTGGATGCCTGAGTGAAAAGCTGACCTGGGAAGCTAGGTGTCAAGTGTACTCTTTACTTACAGATGTGGGCAAAGGAGTTTCTGGACCCCTGGTTCCAACTGACTTCCTTCTACTGTAGGCTCAGTCTGAGACAGATTTAATACGAATGCAGAAGAATGAATGGTTCACTAGGGATGTGGAAGGAAGGCAAGAGCATGGAGAGTTCAAGACCAATTTAGGCTACAAAAGACCCTGATTCAAAAGATAAAGATAATTTTCAATCCTCTGGTGTGGGAGTTTGGGGTTATGTTGCACATGTAATATTTTCTGTGACTGACAGGATTGGCACTAGACCCTGCTCCCTGTGTTTCTTCTATATCTCAGGCTGGCCTAGAACTCCTTATGTAGCCAAGGATGATTTTGACTTTCAAATCCTCTTTCATCCACCTCTCGAGTGCTGCAATTATAAGGTGTGTGCCACCTGGTTTAGTGTGGTATTGGGGACTGAACCCAGGACTTCTTGTATGCCCAGCAAGCACTGTAAATCCTCTCTAACCCCAGATCGCCTTGGTCTAGGATCCAATCTCTGTGGAGCAGTTGCTTCTCCTACCACTTTAGAGAAGGTCGCAGCACCACAGCAGCTTCTGATGTCTAGAAGACCCTTTAGAAGACCCTTGGAAGAGCAAGGGATCCCCCCTTTCTGACTCTCCTTCTCTGAGGGAGAAGGGCCTCTGCTGTGAGGGCCTGGTGGCTCTTTGATATTCTTCAAAACTGGTTTAAATCTATCTTTCTATCTTCCTTGTGTGTATGTGAATGCATTTGTATATGTGTGCACGTGTGCTCATGTGTTTGCATACATATACATGCATGAGTGTATATGTGTATGTGGAGGCAAGAGATCAATGAGGATGTGCAGGTCTCTCCTACTATGTGGTTCTCGGGTCATCAGGGTGGGAGGCAAGTGCTCTTGCCTGTTGAGCCATCCCACTGCCCCCACTTTGAGATTCTTTAAGATACTTTTAAAGCTGAGCCTGATAGCACACTCCAATTCCAGCACTTGGGAAGCAGAGGCAGGAGGTCTAGGAGTTAAAGGTCAGCTACATGAGACCTGTGATTCACATTTTTATTTACATTAAGTCTGCTGGTAGGGAAATTTGGGAGGACAGCAGTAGAGAATAGGGTTTGTGTTGGTATGCCTCACTACTCCTGAATAGACCCAGCTCTATCAGTGCTGATACTTGGGGTAGACTCTAGGGCCTCATGAATGCTAGGCAATCAGTCTATCACCTAGCCATGCCTCTAACTCTGTTCACAGGTGGTTAGAAACAGCTCCTTAAATCCGGATTCTGGAGCCAAGGCCTCCACATCACAAAGGGCCTACCTTTTATTGGAGAGGCCTTCTACTACAAGAAGAAGGCTTCTCACAGACAGTCCTTGGCAGGAGAAAGAGGAAGATAAGCCAGAAGGATAGACACAGCTCTCCGGGACATCAGCCCCTCGTGTGAGGAACCCTATGTATAACAGCTGAGCAAAGAGCATAGAACAGAGAACCAAATGCCAGAAATTCAGAACTTAGGCTCTTAAGTCACTAGGAAAGATAGCCCTTTGGCCTCAGGAAGTACAGAAGAGTAGAGTGGTGTTGTGTTTAGCTCAGGGGTGGGTAGCCCTTAGGTGGAAGGGCCAAGAAAACTTATGCGTGTCTTCCAGGTTCTGGTTGGGAAGCATAGAAGTGAACTTAATGGTCTTTGGCAATAATGGCTGCTCTGAGGTCCCCTTTTTACCACCTCTGTTCAACCTGGGGAATAATTCCAGCAGCCCATGCCTCTCTGCAAATCTGAAATAATTATGAATTATTAATTCATAATTAAGAGTGTTGATTGTGACCATGGCTCTCCAGTGGATCTCTTTATTTTCTTCTCCTGTGTGGGGCAGAAGGCATCCTCTGTTAGCCCTTGCCCTCTGTAACAAGCAAACTGAGGCCTAGCTCCCCTTGAAGTCTTGAGCTTGGCCATTTGTGGAATGGCTGCCTCATTACTAAGCCAAGCCATGTCTCACCTTGCTTGGTGTTTGTGCTCAATACATTCCACTAACCTCAGATTTCACCATGCTCCTGAACAAAGTAGTGACTGGGCGAGAGACTCCAGCTGGAAAAGCAGCTTGATGAAGCTCTGTGAGGAACTAGGAGTAAAAGTCAGGTGGCAGGACACCAGGTGCCAAGATATCTGGGAATGAGTGTGGGTGTTCTGCCTCTCCTCTCCCTTGAGAAAGTCCTTTTCTCTCACACCCTCTAGGATCCCTGAATACACGCCTAGCCTTTTCCCTACCTCCCTTTCTCTGGGTTCACTCCTATCCATGCCTTCCAATGGCTAGGGTAAGGAGTGGCTAAAAAAGGGAAGAAATTTCGACGATAATTTTTATCTAAGTTCTT